GAGTATGAATAATGGCATCTGAATTATTATTTACTCCCGTAAAGTATAAATTCAGAAACTACTTCTTGAATAATGTCAATATTACTAGGGGAAGTTGTAATCAATAAAGTAAGAATTGTTGAAACATCAACCCATCCAATACAGACAGTTTTGTTACCTTGTTATTTTTGCAGCCTCTAAGAAAGGAAATATGCTAGAAGTATATTAATTGTATTATCAAATACAGTCCAATACTATATAATAAATATGGGTCAAGTGAATAATCATGTGAGTTTCACTATTGTTATGAATCAAAAGAAAATAAATTTGCCTAACTTGGATAACAATGATTGAGACTCTTGAATTATGATGTCCTAGGCTCCACTCTTTTTTTTCTTTATTATAAATAGATAAATAATCACATTATTTCAATAAAAGTAATTATAAAATTATTGTATATGCAAATACATACTTGCAGAAGAAGTTAATTACTCAATAATCACATTATCACTATAGGTAAAATTCCACCCTCGTTACATTTTGGCGCCTCGAAAAAGAGTATTATGACAGGCTAAGGGTGCTTTATTCATAAAATGCTGGTGAAGTATTAACGAATCCTAAACTATATGGTCGTGTTTTATTAACATATTTTGCTTCTTTGTTCAAATGTTATGGTAGAGTGTCTCCAAAGGTAGACGTCTTGATGAATTTTATCATTTACATGATCAATTGGTGTTGTGCTTTTTCAAATTGAAGTGACGACGAGAATGTCTCTTTTCCCATTCAAAAACATCTATACCATCAACATGTTTAAATGTTGAAAAAAAAAAAATTATATAAGCCATAATACAAAATGCAGAAACTATTTTTTGGAGAAAAGATGAAAGAAGCGATATAATGATTTTTATGCATGAATAATAATAGTGTTGTTGGGGTATGAAAGTGACGTTCAAAGGTGGAGTAATTAAAAATTAAAAGCACAATTATATTGAATGGAAAATGGTAGCTTTAGGTCCAGAGATTGTGCGGGGCTGTGCCGCGACAAGGGGACCCAACGCCAGTTAGACCTCCGCTTTTGCCGGTGACTTTAATGAAGATAGTAATCGATGAGGATTAGCTTCAATTAATTAACCAGGGTTAGTACAAACCACTTGTTTTAGGACATGTTTGGCTTCAAAGTTAAAAGTAAGTTTTTAAAAGTTTCTCAAACATTTTCATATAACACTTTCTGGCCTCTGGATACAGTAAATTATATAAAAATACTCATTTTAAATGACTGATATGTTTTAAAAATAAAATATTTATCATAAAACTTTGTTATTTACTTTTTTATAAGTAATTTTTAGGCTTAGCCATACACGCATGCCTATCTTATTCACACTAAAAGTGTGTATTTATGTGTTTTAGAAATAATAAAGATTCGGGATTTCTTCTTCTATTTTTGTTTTACGTGAAGAGTTTTTTTGAAAAAGTTATTTTGAACTAATTTTTCTCTAAAATCTCTTTTAATCAGACGAAGCAATTTCAAAAATGAATCAGACAAATCTAAAATCAACTTTTTAATTTAATAAGTAA